CCAGGGATGTCGTAGTGGGAGCGCGTTAAACAGTATCTGTTATTTGTATACAATTCTTGAAAAAGCACAATTATATCTATATCACAATGCATACATAACTGCATGGAAGTTTACTCGTCTAGAGACACTGAGCCTAAGGCGAAAACCCGAGTCACTGTGCACACAGAGGACGAGGCTGTCCTCACGTGCCGGGCGTCGGGGGGCGGGCCTTAGGCGACGAGGGGTAAACTCCTCTCAGACGTCGCCTCGGCGCCATCGGCGCTTGGGCGCTGGTAGGGACATTGTGCGCTCGTGCAAGGATTTGGCTTCGATTTACATACATACACTCACGGTCTGTCGACTCAAGACTAGCCTAGTATTTTGCAGCTGAAAACCACTACTAATTTTAGCAATATGTCGTGCACCAAGGCCTGTCTGGTCCCGACTCTCCGCAGGGTGCGGGCTTCGCCCTCCCCCAAACTTAAAACTGAACTCGGCAGGTTAATAACTATGGACAGAAAAATGCAATCATCTCGGGCCTAGTACAAGCCGAGACGGAGAGGATTTCGCCGGCGACAAAGCCGGGGTTTCCGAGAAGTACACGGTGTCAATGTTGCCTCGGAGTTCAAAGCGGCGACGGCTCCGAGACTCGCGAGGTCGAGTGCCGCGCACGAGGTGTTAGCACGTGCAAGGCACCACATGACATCGTCCGGGAAGCCTACGCCCCTTTGCTAGAAGTTATGAGGCTTTTGTGTGGGGTGGTCTGGGGAGGACAAACGGTGAGGTTGTCTCCCTCACGCAGGGGAACGAAAAAGGAACACAATGAAGTTCGTTATTTTGAGAGCTAGAAAGGAGCGTTAATAATTATAAAAAAACTGCCGGAGTCGAGCCGCAAGTCCCGCAGGCTGCCTTCATTCCCGCAGTTTACCGCCCGTTCTGCGGGGGACGCCTTCTTCGACCAAATGTCACTTTACATGTCGTCATGAAAAACCGGTCTTAGAGCGTCTGGATATTGGGACTTCTACAAGTAGTTTTTACAAGAGATCGTTCAAACGTCTCGTTAATACATAATTTTTATCGCTTAAGAACTGTCCACCTTAAACATTTGGTACAAACACCAGGTGTAATTATTAAATTCTGACATTTATTGGAGTTTCAATTATTACGTCAAACCTTAACCACCAGTAAACCACCGTGAGTAATAAAGTAAACTATGTCTATTACCTCGTCACGAAATCCCGGGTATACTTGTCCATTATCGGGATCCCGGGTCCCACAGTTTGAGTAAAATTTTGAGTCCCGGTGTACCTCTTTTAGATAAGGGTTCACCGGCCTCGCCATTTTAGTATCGTATTATTGTTTTTTTACTGTGTTAAGTCTAACAAAAGAAACAAATTCAATCACTTGAAATCACGTTATTGTCATGTTCGTGTAAATCTGAACCGCATAGTTGTTTTTTTGCGGTATGTTGTTGTAATTCAGTATATGACCCTTACTTGTTTTGTTTTTGCGGAAGGTTTATCTGTTAACAGTAGAAATTGATAATTAGGACATGATTGAGTGGTTTACTAACCTGGTTTAACTCTCCTTTGAAAGTTCTCCCAACTCCATGATGACAGGACGGACCATCCGAGTAAAGTGAATAACTATTATATTTCCGACCGTTCGGTACTTGTTAAAAGTTGTTTTGGATTGAATACTTGACTTTCAATGACAGTAATAACTGGTCTTTAGTGTGTGACAAGTGAAGAAAGTAGCGTGCTTTGTTTATAAAATCCTATGATATAGTCCCACGTCACAGAATACGTCGTGAAATTCACCCAATTGGGTGACCACAAAACGAGGACTTTGGGACGTAGAAAATCGAAGAGTGATATTCACGTACGTTATGTCCCAGTTTCGGACTCACCGTGGTTAAAGTCCTCAGTAAATTCACGAACACGCACTCGGAACTCGCGTCGAAACCATACTACGAGTATGGCTCTCTTTTGACGAGTTTTATATGCACCAGTTTGTACGTGTTGTGAAAGGCGTCGCGTTCCGACAGTTCAACCCCATGTGGACCGTTTCATTTGCTATTTTACACAGAGTTCGTTCGACGTCGTTTAAAGGGGAAGTTTTGCTCACGTGTGACGTTCAGATATAAAGTCACTTCACTGCCCGGTCTAGTCTCCGTAAGCGCCACCTTACCGCTCGGTCTTTTGAAACTTCAGAAGAGGTCAAGTGGTTTTTAGACTTTTCGCACGAGTTTGAGGGCGTTCAGGATTAATCAAAAGAAACTTGGCGACAGTACAGACGCTGTACAACCCCATAGCGTTGGTAAAAAGTCTGTTGCTTTCACGCGACGTAGTGGAGGGGCGCTCGACGCAGGGGTGTTCTTGTCGAGTTGAATTGACCGTGTATGCGACAGTATATGGACGCATGTTGAACCACGCGGCGGACGTTCGTAAACACAAGTTCAGATAGTTCACGAGAGCATTGTAGGTGGTACTTCGTTTTAGACGTAGGTAAGACAACCTGAATAAGATTGTGACCAACGGAAAACAAGTACTTAAAGTTCAAACGGAGAGCATTAGTTTCTTGCGAGTCGTGTTACGGAGCCGAATTGGTAACGAATGGAGCCCACCAGTTCCGTCCGGCATTCAACACCAGAAATAGGCTTTCTTCCACTTTTGACTGCACTAAGTTGCGGGAACTGCCTACTTAATATGGTCAAACCTGTTGGTGGAAGTACTTGCAATAGCGTAGAAATTGACTGAACGTTGTGTTACGGGAGGACCAGTTTTATTGTTCACTTTCTCAGGTTTTTTAGTGCAGGAGGTAACCGTCAGACGTGAAAAAAGGGACTTAAAGCGTGTGTTGTGGACGAAAAAGGTCAGTAACTTCCGCGTGGCCAGACATCGGTGCGACTGTCGGCGCCTGGTCAGGGGTGAGGCTGAGACCAAGGTCCCGTGGGAGGCTCACACAAACTTTTAATAGTCGGCGACAGCCCATAGGCAGTGAGCCGTGGTTGAGGTGTTTGAGAGCCAATGCCAGGTTTCATAGTAGTTGGAGGCGCCTACTTATACCGGTCACCCATGTGCCGGGGCTGAGCCCCGGACAGCCTCGGCCCAATTTAACCCCTGTAGGTACTATAATAATATTATATATAATATGAATAATTTATTTTCAGTGTCTGGGTCCCTATTCCCAAGCTTCGTTTGGGCGTCCCATTTTCACTTGTGAATAATTAGTGTGGATGTTGTGTTGATGTTGATTGGAGATGGTAATACCTAATTGTAATTGTCATGAAAAAGTTAAACATGGCAACAAAGTCGAAACGTGCAAGTCATCCACATCCACAGCTAAAAATAGTGCCAGTCAAACGCCAATGTGTTTCTGAAGTTTACCAAGTTATACATTTGTTTGCTTGGGTTTAAAGTAAAGCAAAAATGTTGTTACAATAGAGGCAGAGTATAATTTATTCTGATTGGTTAGCAGGAGTGCAACTGGTTTCCGGGGTTGATATGTTCCAATTGTATCCTGTTGTCAGAAGAAAACAGTAACTCAAACTGAACAGCTAATGAGTCTGTAACAGTAATATCAATATGATGTCACAGTGATGTCACCAGGGTTAGGTCAGTTCACACAGGGAGACATCAGATTATAGTGCAGAGCGCAACTAATGACAAATTACCATCTGTTACTATTGCATTAATACTACTCACATTGCAATGATCAAGGTGATTTTAGATTGTATGACTTTGTGGTTTACATTAACAACAACATCATTGTAAATAAGTGTCAGTGTAATAGCTCTAATAGTTACATAATATTTCCCTGTTACTCTCATTGTTTGCAATGTGTTTGTAGGAAGTATAGTAAGCAGCACACACACACACACACACACGCACGCACGCACGCACGCGCGCGCACACACACACACACACACACACACACTCTGTTTTTGTTTTACCCGTACAACGTCATATTTTGATGAGAAACTCTACCTGACCTGTGTTCATGTCACATATTTCTGAGGGATCAGAATGGCTGATAGAAGTGTTCCCCTTCACACAGTGGGCACAGTTTGGGGCTCTGGATGACACAACGTTTAGTAAAGAGAGTGCTGCTCAGAAACATAAAACACATTCAGGCTTAATCTGACTAGATTGGATTTATTGTCCAGACACTTCTGAAAAAGGTGCAGCTCACAGTGGGTTCCTTGTAGATGCCAGTCTGGTTGTATTATTATATAACTACCACTTCTCCAAATCTCAGATTATTATCTTTCACTTTACAGAGGCCCTAACAGTCATACAGTATATTTTTGCCTTTAGGTTTTTCTTATTCTTCTGCTTTATGTCTGTATTAGATTAGAATACTTTATTCATCCCAATTTGGGAACATCTTTTGTCACAGCAGCATGATCACAAGGCCTTGCCCATATATGAAATGAAAAAGCTAACGTTAATGCTAATGTTTTGCATGATGCATTTAGCGTTCTCATTAACCCTTTTTAGCAACCGCCGTTTTTAAGACAAACAAAAGCGTCCGGCATTCAGCAGCAGGTATTTAAAAGTTAAAATAGTTAAAATAGAAACATTGAGACAAGCGTACCCAAAGTGCTGAAAATGTTGACTAATTTCCGTGTTTTATGACCCACTCCTTAACCCCTCTAATGCAGGGACAATTCAGTATTCAGGTGCATTTTCAAAGCTCTACGTCCTAGGGCAAAAGGTTGACTTTGATTAAATATTTTATTTCAAAAGATTTCACAAAACTGTATTAGGTTAGTTGAAAGCAATACTATTAGGATTATATACAAATATAAGGTTCAACTTAATATTAGTGCTTCCAACTGACCTATTACAGACTTGTCAAATCTGTTGACATCGTTCAGTTCTTTCAGTGTGTGTTACCAAGAAAGATTAGCCTAGCTTAGCGGAAATACTGAAAGCAGAACTATTGTTATTATGATTGTTCTGATCAGAAATGTCCCAGGCATGTTTGTTTGTGTTATCCTGCCAACAGCAGCATTCAGTGCATTGTTGCTAAACTAGTCATGAGTGGAGTTCTGCATGGGGAAACAATAAAGCTAATGCAGCAGGCTCCAGCAGTCTGCACCTGTATTATCTGACACTCTTTCAACACATTGGTATTACATTCCTTTAGCTTTTGTCCAAAGCAACATCGAGAGGTGCTCAGCTCAAACTCTGTACATATTGTATACTTACTGTTGAATGTTATCTCACATTAGATAAGAGACAACAGTGTGGCTTTCTGCATGTTTTTAAAGTACGACAGACTGCTGAGTCATTAGCACAATTTGATCCTAAAACAGTATATAAATAACTATGTTAAGAGACTATATGTGAGAGTTGGTTAACCTAACATTATGTGAAGTCTTGAGTATTAGTTCACTTTATA